ATTTATCTTTTTGAGATGACTTAACTTAAACTGAACGTTCATACGCCAATCATAGAATAGCCTGATTGTACAATGGAAGATATACATGATATGTATAACGAGATTAGATAAAAAGAAGTGATGTCGCTTGAAGAGGGTGTGGGTGTGTGTGGGTGTGGGTGTGGGTGTGGGTGTGTGTGGGTGTGGGTGTGTGTGGGTGTGGGTGTGGATGTGCGTGAGTGTGGGTGTTGGCTAAGAGATGCCTCACACCTACACCCCACACACACCCACACCTCACCCAAACCCACACCCACACCCACACCCACATCCACACCCAACCCCACACCCACACCCACACCCATACTCACACCCACACCCACACCCCGCACCCACACCCACGCCCCACACCCACACCCCCACCCCCACCCCCACACACCCACACCCTATTATTTGCACCTGAACAAACAGGTTCACATGAATTGATTGTTTATGCTAAACGAACTAATGATAGAGAATCTTTCTCTAAGTCAGTCGTTAAGTTTAATCTTGACGTTACTAAACTTCGTCGACCAATGAAATTTTCTATGATTTATACTCAATTTCAAACTAAAAAATGTCAAATTTATATACCTATGGATGGTATATTAAAGAAAGATTCTGTTGTTCCTATTCATTGTGTAATTTCCGGCGCAAAAGATGTTACTTTGACAATTAATTCAAATTGCATCAAGAATGAAGGTTATAGAGATCCTATTTTAGAAAGAAAAATCGTAGTTGGTTCGACAGCAGGAACTATCTATGCTTAATGTGGAGAAAAGACAAGTTATGATGGTCTTATCAAATACACTGCTCAATGAATGTTTGTACTCTTTAAATATGTTTTATTTTCTTTTCGACGAGCAGCAGGTGGACCTTGACATGCAGCAGGTGGACCTCGACGTGCAGCAGGTGGACCTTGACATGCAGCAGGTGGACGTCGATGTGCAGTAGGTGTACCCGGGTCGATCAAAACGGGTACCCGTTACGGGGTCGTTTTCAGACAGTTAACGATGAAAAAACGGCTAGTTTACGGCCGTAAATAGTCCGTATTACTCCGTATGAGTGGATGCAGTAATACGGTGCCGTATACGGTGAAATAACGGCTGTATACGATGAAAAAGTCACTGTAGTACGGTCCTTAAAACTGCATCCACTCAGAAGGCCGTAATACGGTCCGTAAAGTAACCGTATCGTCCGACCTGGGTAGAGCTCGACGTGCAGCAGGTGAAGGACGACACGGATGGTGGTTGTGGTAGTACTAAGAAGGAAAATCATGATTAGATTAACTCAGTTGTACATAGTGTGTTCAAAAAATTCTCGAAACATTGGTATATCTATACGGGGAAACGACATTCCATTCATCTCTTTGCACCATATATTGAAGATGGTTGTTATGATATTCCATGGAAAGTTTCATCACTTTAACTCACTCTTGAGATGTTCTTTCGAAATAAACAATAGGTATGGAAATGATCTCCTTGGTTATTGCTGGCTTTTCATTAAGTTTTTGAGCTCTCAAAAAATTGGAGAAGTTTCTAAGTGTTGAATGGATTTTATGTGATACTATTACTGTGTATCAGACTTAGACTAGCATCACAATGTTGGACCGAAATCATTATCGAAACGCAGGTCAATCAGAAAAACTAATCTTGTAAACGACATATATTGTTAACAATATCAAAAACTATGATACAGGTAAACTTTTTGTCACATTCGAGCCATTCCTTATCATATAGTGCTTTCTATAGTGGTTAGTAATATTATTTAGATTCGTGATAAATGTTTACATGCATAAACCAAAAAGTTAACAAATGACAACATATTGTCATGGTTTGGTCCTATGAGTTTTCATCACGGTCTGTTTGAGCAACATGCAAAATAACGTCATTATTTACTCTAAAGTGAAAGGAATGATGTTATGGCTAGCCAGATGTAATCACCTCGAGCTAGGCTTTCAGGCTATTAGTTGTTGAAATGTATTCAAGATAAACTAGATAATCATCAGCTACAAAAACGTAGCAGAGATAATAACCAGGAAGGTCAATTTCATATCTATTGTTTATTTCGAAAGAACATCGCAAGAGTGAGTTAAAGTGATGAAACTTTCCATGGAATATCATAATAAATATCTCCAATATGTGGTGCAAAGAGATGGATGAAATGTCGTCTCTCTGTATAGATATACCGATGTCCCGAGAACTTTTTGAACACCCTATGCGCAACTTACATTATAACCGCCACTATAATAAACAATTTTTAATACATTTTCACTTGGATACATCCAATCACCACAACAACAACACATTTTTGTATGTGATAAATTGACACAATATCGCTAAACGAAATGAAATATATATTCTTATACTTCTGTTGTTCTGTATTTACTTACAGTACGTTCACCTAATGATCGACCCAACGCAAGCTAAATAAAAAAAATTTATGGAGATGTCACCTTAATGTATAACTTACATTCATTACGTTCCCGGGTCGATCAAAACGGGTACCCGTTACGGGGTCGTTTTCGGACAGTAAACGATGAAAAAACGGCTAGTTTACGGCCGTAAATAGTCCGTATTACTCCGTATGAGTGGATGCAGTAATACGGTACCATATACGGTGAAAAAGTCACTGTAGTACGGTCCGTAAAACTGCATCCACTCATACGGCCGTAATACGGTCCGTAAAGTAACCGTATCGTCTAACCTGGGTTGTTGATGAAGAAGCAAAGCAGAAATGTATCATAGATAAAAAAAATCTAGAAAAAAAAACGCAGAAAAAATACTAAAGAGAAAACACTAAGTTATTGTTCATTAATAATTTTTTTTATTGTTTTGTTTTATTGTTCCTGATCCTCGTGATAATGGATTAAGAGATTTTAAAGCTATTTTTTGGTCGTTTTAAAACATCACATCGAAATATTGTATAATAATCTGATAAACAAATTAATTCTTCATTCTAAAATATATTTTTTATATTATTGAATTATACAAGAAGACAAAAAAATGAATTAATAATAAATGATTTTTGTTTTTTCCCTTATCTTTGAACAGTTATGATAGAAATAGAAAATCCTACATTCTTTGCTTTTTGTGTTTTTTTTCTTCGCTGTCGTTCTTGAATAAATGGATGTTCAAATGATTTGAAAATATCGAAAAGGAAAATATAGCAGAAGCTAAATATCGAATAGAATGAAAATATATGAGAGGAAAACACAAAGAAAAATTTTGAAAACGAAAATATGGAATAGAAAAGATGTCAGCAAATTACGTAATTTTACGTTTTAAACTATTATTAAAATTATTTTAAATCATCTTCCTCGCTTTCTATAGTGTCCATAATCTAGGGTGAGCCATTAATTCAAGATGAAAATGTTCAGTTGAAATATCTAATAATTCATCTTTCTCTTGGTACTTTATCTTCAACATCATATTGCCATATTACACATGATTGACTAAATTTCTTATCGTCAATAATAATAGGAAATTTTCACTTTCTGTTTTCTAGCAAACCAATTAGTTTAACTACTTTCTTTTTGTTTTTCAATACTATTCTTTTTCAAGAAAACTGATTAGAAATTCTCAAATATTATGCACAACAAAATTCAATCACATATTATCTTATGTCTCTTTTTATCTTCCTATTGACAATGCTGGTATGCATCAGTATTCAATTTGTCTCTATAAAAATCTATTGAAAAAAAACATTTACAATTCTTCTCTTTTCAAATGAATATTGGGTCGATATTTGCTTATTAAAAAAGGGATTTGATAAATCTGAGCATAATACACTAATGATTGTAGAGAGAAAAGAAAATAAGATCATATGAATATTCAGATGTCTTATAAATATATCTTTCACTTTATATGTCATCAAACTCATGAACGATTTTATGTAATTCATATGAACTCTTTTTCTCTTTATGTTTGATTTCATCTCAAACAAGTAGTTGTCACCAGTTAATCACTGTCTATTCATTGTAAGTAGTTTCTAGTCACTATATCTCTATCTTTATAGATATAGTCTTTCTCCAGGCATGTATCTAGAGAATAAATAATGATGAAATAAAAATCAAGTTTCTATATCTATTTTATTGATTCTTCAGATGGAGACTCAAGTCCAGAGATAATAATAGTGACTTTTTTCCCGATTCCGAAACAGCAGACAAGTTTGAAATATTATTTTATTTGACAATGAGAATGAAGACTATGGCGAGAAAATAAGAATCACATGTTTTAAACACTTGTGACAAAGTCAATATCTTTCCATTAATTATTGATTTATTTTTAGAATAAGTAAAAGTAGTTCTGTTTTGAAAAATTATCATACATTGCAATGACAGTCTAAGATATTTTTCTCTTGCATGTTCGCCACTGTATTTGACGAACAATTACTCATCGAATATAGAGGGGAAAGCAAGAGAAAAGAGAAAAATATTTTAGTTACACAGCTAATACATTGCCCTATGAATCAGAATCATTAATTCTTCGCTCTCATCTCGCTATATTATCGATGGTAACGAACATATTGAACAAAAGATTCTTGTTCATTGTTCGAGGTCAATACAAACAACCATGAAAATATTTTTCAGTGATGCACATTGTTGAACACAGCTATAAAAGATACAATCATTTTTTTTCTTCCTCATTCGATGGCATTAATTACACAATTCGACGATTTGCCGGATCTATTCTTTATTGATCTGTTTAATTATTTATCTTCAATCGATATTCTTTGGGCATTTACCAATTTAAATAATCGTATTCAAACAATAATCAATGAACGAGGTTTCTTTCGTCACATCAATTTATCATCAGCACGTCTGTCAAAATTCTATAGACTTCTTACTATACTTCCATTGAATCAAATTGAAGCACTCATCATTGACATAGAAGCATCGCCTCTTCAACTTTCTCGCTGGCCTTATTTACCTCATTTGACTATATTACGATTATATGGTTCACGTGACTTTATAGATGCTACTAATTTTATCCTTCGGCACTCAACTTCACTCATACATCTCACATTGGAAACAAACGATTTATTTATGTCAGTATGTATTACTCAAGAATATTTTCAAACTAATATTCAAGTGAAAAAAAAATCATTGAAAATATCATATTTAGTATCTTCCTATTTCCATACTACCATATATCTGACACCAAGATCTTTTTTTTGCATTAATTAGAATAAAGAACTGAATATTTACAGTCGGATGTCATAGATATAGAATAGAAAATAGTGTTCAATCGTATCTTCATCTCTATTTTTCTATATTTTAAGGGATTAATAGTATATATTAGCAATGTTCAATTACATTATGAATCGTCAATGAGTTACTTCTATAGACGAAAACGTGAATTGACAAAAAAATGTCATTTGATGAATTCTCTTCAATATTCTCATGCAAAAATTTTTTCTTTTCTTGACTAATAAATTCGATTAATTTTTTTTATCTTTTTAGATGGGCTTTACGGGTTATATTTCGCACCCTAGAGGACGTCTTTCAACACTTGTGGAAAATGTTTTGCCACATTTGAGTGCACTTTGTTCGCTCGATTTGGGTCAAGATATTGGACTCGGCCTCACGAACTGGTACATTACTACAATACAAAGCCCTCTCAATTATCTTCGTGTACCGATAGAAGACATACCACATTTGTGTCATGTTATATCAAGAGAGACACTTTCAACTACATTAGAACAATTGCATGTAACAATGCGTGGTCTACATGTGAGAAGAAAAAATAGTTTACCTAAAGGATTGGTACTGTCTAAAATGATCAATTTGCATACATTCACTTTGGTTCAATCGATATTTTCCTATAATAAAATTGAATGATCAACTATTGAATCACTCACAGCTCCAAATGTAATGCCCGTACTTCGACGAATGAATTTAGCTATTTTGATTACTGTCGATGATTTAAATTGTATCAATAGATCGTCACTTTTCATTGATGATCGTCGAATCGATGTTCAATTCGCTTTCATTATAGATGATACTTCTCTAGGTATTCAACTAAGTCATTATGTACCACATGGTAGTCGTTTTCATCCACGACAAATAGTTGGTGTAATCTGTGTTCTAAGTTGCTTATCCCGGAAGTACCAAGAATTGACAAATATCAATTGCTATGTGAGTAATTGTATTATTACACAATTTTTATTTGACAACATCCTGATGAGAAATTAAGAAATGATCAAAATTTAAATTTTCGATTTTTTTTCCAAGCTATTGATGCATTAATCTTTCTTTATTCTAGTTCAATAGTTATCCATGGGCTTACGATGTTTGATATACTTTACCATGGGCATTTGAACAATTCTTCGAGGTGGTTGAACCAATTCAATATATACCTAAAGTAGAAGTATTTGCTTTACCTTCATCGTACTCATCCATTATTAGTTCATCCCGACTTCGTACACTTAGTATATCACAAAATGACTCATTACTATCGATTATTTCAATGCCTCATGTTGTGCAATTAGATCATATTAACACAGTTCATTTATCATTTCATGATTGGCCAACTGGTTTAAATCTTATGGCTCTTCGTCATGTTATATTGACAAATAATCTCGTTGCATTGAAAAACTTCTCCTCATTTCCATCTAATATTCGATCTATTCAAATTCTATTTCGTGCTAATATGCCGAATTTTGTGTCAAGCAATTGATCTGCATTGCGTTCACTTTCAGCTTTACCGATGCTCACCTCATTACATATCGTTATCAATGACATGAATACAAGTCTTGATGATATTAGTTGTCAGATTATTGCAGAAACAGTACCAATGTTTGTTCATTTTGGTATTTGTTTTCGAAGAGACAGTGGAATGCCGCCACGTGATTCCGTTGATCATTGTATTGAGTTTGATCCTGCTCTCATCGATGTTGCTAATGATTTTACTAGTCCTATTATTGACGACGGAGATGATGAAGAAGATGATGAAAATAATAAAGATGAAGATGATGATTTGGCATTCATGGAATCGATGTTTGATGTTTACCGGGCATCTATCAAAGAACTACATTGTCGTATTTTATGTTTACCATTTCATATGAAACCTCTAATTGTTATTGAAGAGGGAGGTTGTGGACTAACTGTTTGGTTATGATTTTCAAAATAAAAAATAAATAATCGATAAATTGTCAAATCTATAGAATATTCCCAAACTTGAGAATAGAACGATTCTTAACGTGTTCAAGAGTAGATTGAGATGCAACTTCAGATAGTAGTTGGTTATTGTTGTCGATTTCATATGTGATTTTCAAATATATGATATGAGGCCACTTGTGAATAAAAAGAAACTTAAGAACAGAAATAGGCACATTGAGTACACACAAACGAGGTAATCGGCGCAAAAACACGATGAGTTGATTAACTGACTTCTGTGACCAACCAGAGCTTATCGAACATGTATTGATTCGTGTTACATCAAGAATCCGTGACAGATATGGGACAGTATTGATCAATGCTCTACCATCTTCTGATAACTTCAATTCGGTAACATGGGTATATCGATGTATAAGTACATAGTTTGTCAGAAAAGACCAGTTCATATTCAAATAAGGACTATGAGGAAATTATGTTGGTTGTGATCCTGTCGATTCTGTCATTATAATTGGTTGTATAAGTTAGAATGAATAGTCATCGTTGCAAAGAGGATTCGAATAAGGCATTAAAAAACCATCTATGCTTTTATCATAGGTGACAAATCATTTTTTTTCACGTCAGAATTTCGTACGAAATGAATCGAGATTGATTGACTGTTGCATGAACCCATCTGGAACGAACAAAAATTGAAACTGAAAATGTTTAATTTTTGTAGCAATGGTGCCCAGGCAATACCATCATCTATACCTTCTCATACATGATCTGCTAACAATGTCAAATGAGTTAGTTGTGGGAATAACGAGAGTAAAGATACTATTTTCAACCAAGTTACATTGTAGAGTTTGATTGACAATTGATATAAATGAAATGATGGAGAAGGAATCTTAGTGAATGTCATGTCTAACGTAAGTAAAAGTTTACATCAAGTGTGTGAAGCATAAGTGCAATGACAAATAGACTTGGCAAATCGATATCAATACCATCTAAATAAAAATATTGTACCAAAGACAATACTGTTGGACTCGATGAGTGAATGATAATTCTATCATGTGAATAATCAGTCATCCTATGTGAAAGCTTCTTGAGCGAAGGTGAAAAGAGTTCATTGAGAACATTTGATGTCAATAAAGGAGTTACATGTAGATCAGAATTAATTAAATGGATGGAAAGTGTCATGAGCTCTGATGAAAGTCGAGTTTTTAATAAACACCATGTATCATAGTTAATGTGTGTCAAAGTCAAAAGGCGAAGGGAGTTTTTTTCAACATAGTCACACGATGAAAGTTCAGTCGAAATCGAGAACATGCAAGAAATATCGATCGAAGTTGTTTGTTGACCAGGCATACAGATGAGAGAACATCGAAGATTGAAACATTATTGAGAGTTTTCTCAATTAATTCCACTCGCAATATACTCAGATAGTCTGACATATCTTGTCGGATCACTTGAATGTTGTTTTTCCACTTTCTGACGAGCACCTAAATAGGTAATAGACAAACAATAGCCGTCCTATTTGTTGCATATAACATGACCGTTAGATATTTGTGTTCCACTTTTCCGAGAAAGTTATAGACACGAATGAATTGATCGAGTATCATTGTCGAGATTAGCGACAAAGTCACTTCTCCAGTTTGTTACACTATTTCAAGAAAAGAGTTTTAAAAAAATCCCAGTAAATTGTGGATAAACAGAATAGTCTGTTCAACTGTCTAAATAAAAGAAAAACACGTCCGTTATGGCAATACAGCTTCAGTCAAATAAAGAAATATTTTCGACTAGCTTTTTGCTGTAAAAACACATGAAATTCTAAATAAATATCGAAACATGGATAAGGGTGTGGGTGTGGTTGTGGGTGTTGGTATGGGTGTAGGTGTGTGGGTGTGGGTGTAGGTGTAGGTGTGTGGGTGTGGATGTGGGTGTGAGTGTGGGTGTGGGGGTGGGCGTGGGGGTGCATGTGGGTGTGGGGGTGGATGTGGGTGTGAATATCAGAGGTCCAAACAGGCCCACTTTTTGAAGGCATGGCCTGCCTGTGATAGGCTTACACCCCTCCCAAGCCTGCCTGTGCTTGTTCTCTGATTTCCTCAGCCTGGCCTGCCTGTCTGTCATTTTCTCAGACCTGCCTGTCCAGGCCTGTGTATTTTTTTCATGTCAATATCATGATAAAATTACCATAGAAAGAAGTAGTAATCTTCATAAAAAGTCGTATTGGTCACTGAATTCAATCTACATCACTACATGGAAAAGTCTCTAATTGAAAAGTCCATGAGAATTGTCAGCTTGCCAATTAAACAAAGGTATCATGTTTCTTTGTAATTGAGAGCATGTGAAACTAAGGGTAGAACAAAGACTGTTCATTTACTAAGATACCTGTGGCCAGCCAGAGTATAAAAAAAGCATAGTTTTCAGTTCACTTAAAAAAACGTTTACTACAATGAACGATCGATTTCTAGTCAAAATCGGTCGGCGAAAATTGGCATCGTTCTGAATAAGCAAGTAACTTCATTAAAGAGACAGCTACAATACCTACCTGTAAAAACTGCGAACACACTTTCAGGTAAAAAACAATTCATGCAAAAGTCAGAAAAGATACATATTAAATGACTAAAATCATTATTCTTTTGTCGATTGTCAATTGGTAGCGAATCGATTACAATAAAAACAAATCAAAGTCAATTCATTATCGATTCCTAATTTATTAAAAATGTATGATGTTACTTAACCTAGAATCAACTTTTTGCGTCACTTCTTATATAAAGACTAGATCTGCATTCGTCACAGCATCAGAAAATTTTATTTCATATATACATATACTTATATTTTTGTCGCCGATTAGCAAAAAGTTAAGAAAAGCTACACCATGCTTTAGAAAGCTGGTAGCTTCGGAGGAATATTTTTCGTGTAGCTGTCTCTTGTCATACTTTGTAATAAAACATTATATAATGTTTGAAGAGAATTTTACGGTATGTATCTTTCAACATGAACTTAAATGAAAATTAATAATATTATATAAATAGTAAAATTTCTCATAGAAAGCTATTTATGTCTTCTGAACCATCCGATTTTTGATTTCCTAAGGCCTTGTATAAGTAAAAGTGAAAGTAATTATGGCTGTCTGTATCTAAAAGAAAGGCTATCTTTCAGCTGAATCAAAAAACGTGCGACGTACTAAGGATGTGTAAGTAATATCAATTTCGAACTCTATTCTTTTTAAGAGTTCGTGATGTCTGTGGGTTTTGACAATTTCACAGGTACCCGCATACGTTGAAAAGTTTCATTACTGATTAAGAGTTTACGGACTGAACATTGGTGATACGTAGACAAAATAAAAACAATGCTGAGTTAGTCAACTTGTGGAAGATATCTGATTTTTGTTCAAAAATATTTTCATTGAACTTCTCCTGTCAGATGACAATGTCACTCAAACTATTGGGATCAAGAGAGAAACAGAATGCAATCAGTGGTAAATCTGCAAGATAAAAAAAGGATTTAGAATTAATTAATTTAACTAAACTTGAGAAACATGACAAGCAGATAATGATACCTACGAATATTTGTGCTCATCATCTCTTCAGGATGGTAAGGGTATTGATTTCCTATAATTATCTTTAATACTTATTCCGCAGTATTTGTTTGATTTACCGCGCTTAAATGTGATTGTTTGAAAACTAATGAAGGTTGTATCTATTTGCTAACAAAATCATGAAATTCTCAGATGAAACTTCGATTTCGAAGAAAAAGTAGACAGGCCAGGCGGTCTGTCATTTTCAAGCGGCCTGTCTGGCCTGTCTTAGGGGTCGGTGTGACCTGCCTGTGACAGGCGCAGACCTCAAGATCGTGGCCTGTGCCTGTCACAGGCAGGCAGGCCGGTAGACCTTGTGGCCTGTTTGGACCTCTGATACTGACTCAAGTGTCAATAAGTCAATGACAGTAGATCGGTAGTACTAACAATTTTAAAACAAATTAAAAATACTAGATAGGTGTCTGTTTTATCTGATATAAATGGCTTCGAATCAATTAGCAGACTATAAATTTTTTTCAGATGCATTCTTGAACGGCTATAATACATTGAGAAAAGATTTATGACATCTTAGGTGTTTTTTTTATCAGTTTATCTGATTATCTTTATGATGCATAAAATGAATGAATATTGATGAAAATGAAAACCAGCGTTCGAATAAAGTTAGTCATCTAGTTGAATTTTCAACATTACTTTGATTTTCGAACATTAGAACTTCGAAAAGAATTAAAATGAACTATTGAAGTGGAGACAAATTATGAAAATAATCAATTGGAAAAAAAATTGATTTCAAATAAACTTTGGCACTTTACGGGGAAGGAAGTTTGATGACAAGGGAAAGATGTTGGATCGAAAGAGGTCAAAAAAAGAAAACACGTAGTTTCCAAACAGATCCTTCGATCACTGATATATCATTCTCAACAATGTTTGATTTTTGTTTGGATAAGAATACTAATTGAGAACTGATTTAAGTCTAGGAAATCATAACGTCGAGAAAGAGAAGACTGTTGTATGCTTACGGCCATACCACGTTGAATACACCA